ACCCCCCCAACATTCAAATTCTTGTTGAGAAGAAGCCAGGAGAGGACACACAGCACAGTGGCGGTACTGGCTGCACCCTGAACCCTGTCCCGTCAGCACTTGCCTTTGCCTCTGTGGAGCCGCTAGAACTAAATGTGGAATTAATTTTTCCTGCTAGACCGTTCCCTTTACTCTGTTCCCTTCCCTTATTAGACTTCTGTCTGCTCTTACACGGGGGAGCAGGCTCCCTTAGACATGGTGTGAACTGGGGTTCGCTAAGCCACACCTCACTCCTCCCTCAGATTTAGACCCATGTTCTGTGCTTACAATGGGTGTTTAGCAACTACCAACTTTTTACCCAGCCTCCAGCTCCCTTAAGCAACCGCCCCCTCCTTGAGTCTTGTCTTCACATGGGTGAGTTGTTTATTAACAGCAGCAAGGTTGAGGGAAGTTTTACTCGAAGCTGAAAAAGGCTTTTCCCAGGGAACATAGCCGTGGATAGTGACCTTAGTTTACTGAGCAATTGTTTAAATCAAGACGTTGGCCTGGAACTTCATAATAAAGTAATTATGAAGTCTATTCACTCTGCACCTAATGTGTCATCACTGTTAACAAATGTAATTTCACAGGCTCTCAGCCTGTATGGGAGTGGCAGCATCCTTGTTTTCATGGATGCAGAATTAGAGCTCCTACAAGGTCATGTGTCTCACACAAAGTCATGGAGCCGGTTAAGAGCAGACAATTCAAGCCTGGGTCGGTCTGGCTACAAAGCCATCCCTCTGCCATGCTGCTGCAGCCTACTCATTATCCAACCCTGGCTGAGCCTAAAAAAAAAAAAATGTTGCTAGTTTTTGAGAATGAGTAGGAAAGGTGTTGGAACAAAATGTTCCTGAATAGACGCTTTGGTTGCCCCACAGTGAGTAGACAGCACTTCTGAAAATTAAGTCTTCAGGATGACGGAATCACAGCTGCTCTGCTTGTCTTTCTGTTGCTTCTAGAACAATTGTGGAATTCTAGAACAATTTTCTTGAACATATTTGGTCATACTGAAAATAAAGGTAGCTGTCTTTCCCTGTTCAAAAAGGAATACATGTTTACTGTAGGAAATGCAGACACATACATAATTGTCCAACATGTCCCAAAGCACCAGGAGCTGTCCAAGAAGGTCCAGCCCTGTGCTGCCGTTCACCATGTGTAGGATCTTGATGTGATCTCTTCTGTTCTTGTTTCTGGTCGGTGCACTTGGAAATAGCCTCCATCATTGGATTTTGGTAAGATAAGAGTTAAAAGCCAGAAGCCTCCAAGAAGTGACCCAGAAATAGTTGACATTTTAGTAATGATCTCCTGGCCTTCCTTCCTGAGCCTGCATGTATGTGTTAAGGTATATGCTACTGTGTCTATATTAATGAAAATAAGATATTTTAAAACCAGTTGTGGCTTTTTAACCAATTAACATATCCTGACCACCTATCCTTACCTCTACATAGCTTCTACCATTGCCTACAATCTAGGATGAGCTGGTGCCAGTGGAAAGAAATCTGTTATTGCAGGTGTGTGTGTGTGTGTGTGTGTGTGTGTGTGTGTGTGTGTGTGTGTGTGTGTGTGTGTGTTGGGGGTGGGGGTGGGTGGAGGGGCAGCAGGCACAGACTTCTAGTCTCCTGATAACAGGCATTTTTAAACAAATATGTGAACATGGCCACTTTGGGTCATAGGGGCTCTCTTCCTTTCCAGAGCGTTCCTAAACCTCCCTCCCTGTGAGGTAAGGATCAGGAAGGATTCCTTTCGGAGCTCAGAGCCTGTCTTGATTCAGTGTGGCAGTACTGTGAATCCAGATGCCAGGCCTCAGTGGGGGAACTTGGATTCTGGCCCTCTTTAAAGTTAGAAAAACGGTGCTACTGCATTTGATCTGTTCTCTGGGTGTACAGGAAGTCGCCAGTCAGAGCGCCTTCTGGTTCCAAGAAGCTTCCAGGCTGGACTGCCATTCTCCAGCCTTCAGGGAGGCGGACTGCAGTCACTGGCCTTTAGTTGGGGGAGTTTCTGGTGATGTGCTTACTGATTGATACCTTTCCTCTTGTTGGAAAGAAAACATTGATCCATTCTCTTTTTAAACCCTTCCCCTTCTAGCAAACCAACACGCCACATTTGCAAGCCTCCTCTTGCCTCTCCACACTCCACCTTCAGTTGTATTGTGTGTGCAGACTCTAGGGATGTCCTTGTCCATCCAGTCCCACCGACCTTCAGAAGGTTAAAGAGTGCTGGGCAGTGTGACTGGGGACAGAAGCCTCGTGTGGAATACGCTTCTGAGAAGGTTCATGGCTGTAATAATATCCCTTTCTTCTATCCTAAAACATCTGTTTGAGACTCGGCAGCGCAGTTGAGCTACCTTCCAAAGGAACCCACCTGTCCTGCCGGATACTGTTGACTGAGTTCAGACACAGTGACTTCCCCAGGACCTTTAAGGGAAGGGCTCTATTTTTACACTCTCATCGTTATTGAGAAAGATCTAAGATGCTGTTGGTGTGCCTACCAAAATTACAGAGCAGCTGCTGTGTCTGTGAGAGGTATGCTGAGATGGCTGAGAGGAATAATGCACATATTTCCCAGCAGTGAAACTCAAAGCATTAATGACTCTATCCAGTGTTTTCCAAAGTGCCTTTTAACTACTTTCCTTCTGACAGTGAAAAGGTTAAGTAGCAATACCCTCTTTCCACTGATGAGACTCTGAAACTAGGAGAGGTTAACTGACTTGCCTTGGGCCAGCCTGACCCAGTGGAGGGATTTCCTTTACCCATAACTCCTGCTTTTCGTGCCAAAACCAGGGTTGCCTCAGGGAGGGCCTCGGTAGAGGAGGGAAGGCTCCTTGCCAAGGATGGAATATCCTTGTTCACTGTACCTTTTTTTGGTCTTTATATTTTATCCTTTTTTAAAAAATTTTTTAAAAAAAGATTTATTTATTATGTATACAGTATTCTGCCGGCATGTTTTGCCTGCATGCCAGAAGAGGGCACCAGATCTCAGATGGTTGTGAGCCACCATGTAGTTGCTGGGAATTGAACTCAGGACCTTTGGAAGAACAGCCAGTGCTCTTAACTGCTGAGCCATCCCTCCAGCCCCCCACCCGCCTTTTTGAGGCAGGGTCTTTCATGTAGCCCAGCTGCCCTCTGACTCACTGTATGGGCTTCTGATCCTCCTGCCTCCAACTTCTGAGTGCTGGCATCACAGTGACGCACGGGCACATCAGGTTTTATGTGCCTGGGACTGAACTCAGGGTGTGTGTTGTGTATGAGAGCCAAATACTCTATAAACTGCACCACATCTCCAGCCACCGCTCCTCCCACTTCTTCTGATGCAAGGGAGCCAGTCTATCAGCTTTGCTCTTGCAGTCCTGTTTGGGATTGCTGAGGCAGCGGTTGAAGTGGTATCCTTCAAATCACAGACCCGGATCCTTGACCTGGATGTGGCTTTGCTTCCTTGAGCTAAGCTGCAAGCGTGATGGATAGCAGAAAGGAATGATTACTGGCTCAACTGCCCAGTCTCGACAGGCGGCCCTTTGGGTTTGAGATGCAAACCTGATATCCACAGAGGGCTTCAAAATCTGATGTTGTTTTCTCCCTGTAATTCATTTGTTGGGCTCTTTGGTAGCAGGGCTGCCAGGTTGTCCCTGGTACACATTCCTTTTGGAGTTCTATAACGGACACATGGCAATGTGTGTAGCTAGACTGTGGAGACGGCTGTGACACAGAAGGCCCTAGCAGCCCGCCCTCTTGCTTCCACCAAAGCTGCTACAGCTTGAATCATCTTGGCTTACTTCTCCTAGAGGTGGGGCAGATCCTTGTCACAGAGCCAGGCTGAGTGTGCCTTTGAGGACACGGTCTTAGATAAGAAGTTGCCATATTGATGTTTGTTATTCTTGAGGACTGAGTGTACTTTCCTTCTGGCTCCAGAAAGGCCCTCCAATAATTAGCTAACTACTTGGAGGAATGTTACAGGCTTGTGCAGGGCAGGCTTCATGTAAAGGAGGAAAGCATGGGAGTTTGAGACAGCAAAATGGGCTTCCTGTCTATACTAGAGTTTTCATAGACTAGGATTGTTATTAGGGCTTTTCTTTCCCTTTCAGCTTTAACTTTTTTACCCCCAGCTGTAAAGTGTTTTGTTTTTGTTTTTTCCTCCTCTGGGGACAGTGTTTAGAACTATCCAGAATGGTCTAGGGTTTAATATGCCATCATAGCCTTTTCTACCCCCAAACCCCTAGCAAGAGAATTGCTTACCTTTATACCAAGGAGGCTGTAAAAAAACATTCAGTGTGTGCTCAGGTGGACAGGGCCTGTGGTGATTCCATGTGTGCTAAATGTGTCAGCCGCGGATCAAGCTTGCTTTCCTCATGGTGAAAGTGTGTCGAAGGCATGAACGCAGAGTCAGGAAGCTAAATAAACACGAAAGGATTTTAAACAACGAAAAGAGACATGTCACAGTCCTAGAACCCCAGCCACTCAGGAGACTGATGCAGAGGTTGGGAAGTTCAAGACCTACTGGGGATACAGAATGAGTTCAAGGCCAGCCTGGGTAACTTAGCAAGACCTCGTTCCAAAAATAACAACTAAGTAACTGGAGAGATGGCTCAGTGGTAGCGTGCTTTCAGCCCCAGGTTCAATCTCCTGCACTGCAGAAATAAATAAAGCAAAAGTTTAAAAAAAAAAAAAAAAGCAACGCTTACTTCAACGTTAAGGTGTAAACTCACAACCAGACATTTACGTTATAGACACTTCACAGACTGACCTGATCTAGTTTTGGTCCCAGGAGTGTTGGCATGTGGTCTCAGGATGTGGCTACTGTTCCTCTTCCAGCCAAATGTCCCCTTCACACAGCTGTTTAGCCTAAGTGTCCATGTGGTAGGTAGTAGATTGGTTGTTGGCGCTTGCAGTTCTAGCTGTTTTATTGGATGGGAAAATCAAGACCATGTGTAGTAAAGGGTTAGATCCAGGTTGATATAACCTTTCTTTCTCCATGTTTTGTCTGAGCAGATATCCTTGGTTACCTCACCCTTTTCTTGCTGGATGGAACAGGAAGATAATCAGGGTGTGTGTGAACCCCAGAATTCCGAAGATAGAGGTATGGGTTCTGACTTTGAGAACTCTGAGGACAGAGAAGGGGACCCAGAAGAAAGAGGAATGGGCTCCAATCCACGTGACACAGAAGAGAGGGGCCATCTGGAGCAGGAGATGGACTCCAACCCACGGGATGACGATCTAAGAGGGGACTCACAAGAGAGGGAAATAGTGTCCACTGTCTGTCCAGGTGAGAAGACTGGCGTATCCACGGAAGTTACCACACTTATATTTACACTTGGTGCCTCTGTCATACAACCCGGGCCAGCACCCTAGGAGTCTAGGGGGAGGGCTCTCTAGAGACCATTGAGCAGGATTCTCAACTGCCTTGGCTCTCCTAATGTCGGTCCTCTGAGCATCTTTTTCTTTAATATCATCCACCATTGAGGCCACGCTGGTAAGTGAAGGGTCACTCATGGGTGCTGCCCTTTGGTACAGATGACTACTTGTAACATGGAATCACAGGCAATACGGGGGGGGGGGGGGGGGGAGGGGGGGTGGCTACCTCACAGACGTTGGGGAGTGACCTGACATGTTGGATTTAAAGAGTGACTTGGGAGCCTAGAGAGATGGCTCAGTGGTTAAGAGCACTTACTACTCTTGCAGAAGACCTGAGTTTGGTTCTAAGCACCCATATCAGTCGGCTCACAACCACCTGGAATCAGTTCCAGGGAATCCAATGTCCTCTTCTGGTCTCTGCAGGCACCTGCACGAATGTGGGACACACAAACTCACATACACACATAATAGATGAATACATGTTTTTTTAAAAAATTCAAAAGTGACAGCACACTGCTGGGCAAAGTATATGGATGTTTCTAGTTAAATCATCATCCCCGCTCTTGATAAGCAAAGTCAGTGGTTAAATGACCTACCTGTGTTCATGAGGCTGGTTACCCAAGGGCCTACGTTCCTGGTTACCACCCGAAAGCAAATGCTGGGTCTCTAGCCACGCCCTTGTTTCTGTCTTTGGACATCGGTTGCTTTGTCCTGTTCAGGGTATACAGCAGGGACAGAAAAGAGCTGAAACACCCTATGGCCAGGACTGTGTGGTTACATTTCTTTCCCTGTGACAAAGTCCCAGGTCCCCTGCTGCCCTCCTCCACAGTGCATATAAGCCTGTGGCCTTCACTTCCTCAAGTGCCCTCTGTTTGAGAAGGAAGCAGCCAGAGACTGACAGGTATATATTCTCTACCAGTTTATAACTTGGTCTTACCAGTTCTGGGCTGTCTGCCATCCCTTACCCATCTTCCAATGCTGAGTTCAGTTTGCTCATGAGTGTGACCAACCTGCTGCTGAGGACAGCTGTGAATGCTACTCCTCATGAAATTGTAAGTGTAATTAAAACTCGAAAGTGTGTGTGTGTGTGTGTGTGTGTGTGTACATCTATGGGTTGTTATATGTGTCAGCCAGAGGTCAACCTCAGGCATTGCTCCTTAGCAGCCATCTAACTTGAATTTTTAGGTGGGGGTCTCTGTGGTCTAGAGCTCACCAAGGTAGGCTGGCTGGCCAGCAAGCGCCAGGGAGATCTGCCTGTCTGTCTCCCCACTAGAACTACAAGCACTATGCATCCCACTTGGCTTTTTTTGGGGGGGGGCATCAAAATCAGATCCTCATGCTTGCACAGCACTTTAGAAATAACGTATCTTTCCTGATTTCTTTTCCCCTTAATACTTGACTGTTTGCTTCTTGAGCACAGACTTCAGTAGACTGTAACAGGGTATTGTTGCAATGTCAAAGGTTGGAAATGCTCTCCAGCTGTTCCAGATTGACCAAATGGTTTTTTGTTTTTGTTTTAAAATCAGTTCTGGACCTAATTCATCCAAGTGGTCTCTTTTACTTTTCATGACTAACCTGATTTGTGTTTTGAGGCTCTAACTTTACAAAGTATGGTTGAGCAAATAAAGTTTTTTTCTCCATTTTCTGGAGACAGAACTCTATCTCCTGAGTTCCCATATGGTACAAACCTGGCTATCTGCATCCTGCCAGTGGTTCAGCTAAACAAAGCCTGGGGTATACAGTAGATGTGGTCTGCCAAAAGACTGGTTGACAGCGGCGCAGAGTGCACTGTCCTTTAGGTCTTACTTGGAGGAGACCAGTGGGAAAGAGGCTGGAGTATAAGGAGGCTAGGGAACTGGGGTGGAGAGGTTTGGGGGAGTACCCGGGTCGAGCATTACTCCTTTGGCTCACAATCTTTGAAGGGCAGTTCCCCTAGAATACCTTTGCACGCCAGGTCTAGCTGATCCCCATTGCCAACTTGTCTGTTGCAGAGGGGCTGCTGAGTGAGGAAGAAGGGGCTGTCCTCCGTGAGGAAGAGGACAACCAGCCTGGTGTGGCTGACATGGCACTGTTCCCAGGCCTGTCAGAATCTGACAGTATATCCCGGAGTCCCCGCGGAGAAGAGGAGGAGGAGGAGTTGGAAGAAGAGGAAGAGGAGGAAAACGTTGGGGAGAACCGGCTGATGGAGGCAGATGAGCAGTTGCCTCCTCCAATGCTTCCCTGGAGGCGTCACCTCTCCCTGGGGGGTCGACACCGAGGTGACAAACCTGCCCACCGCCGCTTCCACCGCCTCCATCACCCCATGGCCATGGACCTCGGGGAACTCGACAGCCTGATGGCCAGCATCATGGACGCGCCCACCATCTGCCCGGACTGCGGGGAGAGCTTCAGTCCGGGTGCCGCCTTTCTGCAGCACCAGCGCATCCACCGCCTGGCTGAGGCCGCCGCGGTGGCCAGCCTGGAGCCCTTCGGCTTGGCGGCGGAGTGCGGTGGGGTGGTGGGGATGATGGGCATGGGCGTGGCCGGCGGCTTCGGGGCGGGGCCGGCGCTGGCCCGGCCCCCCCGCGAGAAGCCCTTCCGCTGCGGGGAGTGCGGCAAAGGCTTCAGCCGCAACACCTACCTGACCAACCACCTGCGGCTGCACACGGGCGAGCGGCCCAACCTGTGCGCGGACTGCGGCAAGAGCTTCAGCTGGCGCGCCGACCTGCTCAAGCACCGGCGCCTGCACACGGGCGAGAAGCCCTACCCGTGCCCGGAGTGCGGCGAGGCCTTCAGCCTCAGCTCGCACTTGCTCAGCCACCGGCGCGCGCACGCGGCGGCCAGCGGCGCGGGCTCGGCGGCGCTGCGGCCCTTCGCGTGCGGCGAGTGCGGCAAGGGTTTCGTGCGCCGCTCGCACCTGGCCAACCACCAGCGCATCCACACGGGCGAGAAGCCGCACGGCTGCGGCGAGTGCGGCAAGCGCTTCAGCTGGCGCTCGGACCTGGTGAAGCACCAGCGCGTGCACACGGGCGAGAAGCCCTACATGTGCTCCGAGTGCGGCGAGACCTTCAGCGTCAGCTCGCACCTCTTCACGCACAAGCGCACGCACTCGGGCGAGCGGCCCTACGTGTGCCGCGAGTGCGGCAAGGGCTTCGGCCGCAACTCGCACCTCGTCAACCACCTGCGCGTGCACACGGGCGAGAAGCCCTTCCGCTGCGGCCAGTGCGAGAAGCGCTTCAGCGACTTCTCCACGCTCACGCAGCACCAGCGCACGCACACGGGCGAGAAGCCCTACACGTGCATCGAGTGCGGCAAGAGCTTCATCCAGAGCTCCCACCTCATCCGCCACCGCCGCATCCACACCGGCAACAAGCCCCACAAGTGCGCGGGCTGCGGCAAGGGCTTCCGCTACAAGACGCACCTTGCGCAGCACCAGAAGTTGCATGTGTGCTAGGGCGGGGGTGGGGTGGGGTGGGGTCCCGAACGAGGCCGCGCTGGGAGTCGATGGCTTGGTTACTGATCCTGTAGATGATGGGGGAAGGGACGGGAGGGACAGCCCGAGAGTGTGTGTGTGTGGGGGTGCTTTTAATGTTTGCCCCTGCTCCCCCACAAGGGGACGGTTAATAAGAGTTGTTATTTCGAGGTGCCTACCTCCTCCATAGAAGTAACTCTTAAGAGATGTGCTTGAGCTGATGGCTTACTTTAATACACACTGTAAGGAGTGAAGAGCTTGGGTGAACAGATGCTTGGAGGACTCCCCCCCCCCCCCCCCCCCCCCCCCCGAGGAAGGGGATGTGGGTGGAGAGGGTTGGGCTGCCGTGTTTGTGGGAACTGGGAGGGGTGGCTGGTTTAGAGTTATGGGGGGTACAGTAAAGCGTGGGTAGGAATAAGCCTGCGACACCTCTCACCCTCAGCTCTAGCCAGACCCTTCTCATCCCTATAGAAGAGGGCACTTCTATCCACTTCCCTTCCCATGAGCCACAGTTAGCTGCTATTTTGAGACATCCAGGGAAAGTCGAGCAGAGAAACTGCACAATTACTTCAAGGGGCAACCTCGGGTTTAGAAATCCACTAAAAACTGGTTCCCGGATTTCTTAGGAAATCCTGCACTTGGTTCTTCCTGTTGGGTCTCGGGTGCCTAGGTGGATGGATGACCCTGACCCATGTGTAAGTCAGGACTTGCCCCGTCTTAGTCCGGCTTCAGGAGGACTGAAGACCACCATCAGCAGCGGCCTGAGAAACCTGTTCACAAAAGTCAGCCCGCTCAGTTTTGCTGGCTTTCTGTGGAAAACGCAAGAAAGCTGAGTTCCCAGGATGGGATGCCTTTCTTTGCATGTGTGTGCCCTGACCCCAAGAACCCCAACTTCTGCACAAATTAATGAGGGATCTAGTCCAGACAGGGGTTTCCTTTTTCGCTTCCGTATGAGAGGCACGGATTTACACATGGAGGGTACAGACAGGGAGAGGTGGGAATGCAAAATTGCCAAATAGCTCAAACAGTGAATGTTTTCTAGTTAGACGATGCCAAAATTAGCACTTTTGTATTTTCAAAGTGTTTTATGCTTTCTAATGATTGCTAGTGTTTCTCACGTGCTTGTGAGGTAGATCAGTATTACGAACTCTGTCTTGGGGGAGGTCTAGGGTAGGAGTGTGGCAAGCCTCTTGAGTGAAGGCTGAGGACTGCGGGTGGTAAGCCTGGCCTTGTGTGGTCTTCGGCTCTGTTGCTAGGATGACTTACGTCCTCTGATTTAAATAATACAGTAAGAACACTGAGCATTCTTGTGCTTGATGGAAGACATAAAGCCTAGAAGGACCAAAGATGTCCTTATTGACAAAGCTGGCCTTTGTCACCTGATTACAGTGTCCTCACTGTGTTCTGTTTCTCGGAGGGAGCTGTAGTCAAATGACTTGTATAGATTTTGGTTACACTGAAAATCCCTCCCCTCGATTAGCCTGTAGAAGTTAGTGTTGTGGCAGGCGGTAAAGTTTTCTTCACTGAAAGTGTTTCGCCCTAGACTGTTCATGGGAGTCTCAAACTGTTGGACACAGTTGAAGGGCGGGGGAGAACTATACAATTGTTTCTACAGTTTTAGTGAAGTTTCTGTGAATGCTAGTGATTTATACTTGATCATTTATATTTTAGTAATAATCTTTCTTTGGGGGCTGTAGGAAAGCATGTTTTTTTTTGTTTTTTTTGTTTTTTGGTCATTTTAAGTACCCTTCAAAAATCTGGAGAACACCCGGGCTTGTATATTGCCTGCTGATCTTGACCACTAAATCTGTTCATTGTTGTTCACAGATGGATATCAGACACTCACACTAGGGATAGTTTTGCAAAGTCTGTGCCCATGATTTATTCTGACTCTTGCAGTCTGAATGCCAAGTGTATGAGACCTACTTAAAACCACACAGCCAATCTGTAAGTGATCTTTAATTTTTTTTTCTTTTGAGACAAGGTCTCTCTACATAGCCCTGGCTGTCCTAGAACTCACTATGTAGACCAGGCTGACCTTGGACTCAGAGATCTGCCTGCCTCTGCTCCCCAAGTGCTAGGATTAGAGGCAAATGCCACTATGACCGGCTTATTATATTATTTTTTTTGTACACATCTACCTCTTCTGGCTGTTTTAAGTTCTCTCAAGTGTGTGCCAATGAAATTGCATCCAACTTTTGATTCTTCGTTTATTTTCCGGCCACTTGATGGGCTTTGTTTTGTGTTTTGTTTTTTCTTCTGTTGTTACCATTACACACAGTATAGCCGCTGTGAGATGTGCTGCATTTCAGCAGCTTTAGAGAATGGGTTCAGTGGGGAGTGGATCTTCAAGCTGGTGTGAAGTAATGGCAGTAGAAATCTTTGGCCTTCTCCTCTTCTTTCCATTGCCACGGGTAAGAGCCTCAGCTCCTTTGTTATCCCTTGGCTGAGCAAATCCTTCAGCACTGACCATGTACCGCTCCAGGGGTGTATATAAGATGTGATTCCCTTTCTCTTACTTCTTTGGGGAACATACCCGCATTAAGTGAGATGCCACGCACCCAGATGGTTAGTTCTCGTCTTCCGACTTAGGATAATAGTGTTTCTTCAGGATACCCTGGTGACGGCGGTTCGTGCTTGAAAGGATTCCTCCCTCCAACTCACTGCTGATGTTGGAGGCCTTTGTACTGTTTATTTCCGGGGAGTTTGGTCAAAAGCAGGTTCCCTTTGCTGTCCTTTACTAAGCAAAACTCGGTGCAGTTTATGGGCTTAAATGACTTAGTTCTGAGGTGGAAGAATATAAGCAGCCCTTTGAGCCACGTGGTGTCTTTACAGTCTCGAGGCTGTATATATGTGAAAAGTGAAAATTAAAAAAAAACAAAACTATGTTCATAGACAATCTGAACTGTGTTTCTGAAGTTTGTGCACATATTTCATTGTAGTGCTATTTTACATTTGTTTGTTAGAGTAGTTAAGTAATTTAATGATCTGAAGAGTACCAGATTCTGTGTGAGTGTGCTTGTGTATGTGAGAATTGCCTCGTTTTCAGGCTGTTTTATTTAATGATGGTCCCTTGGACAGCATCCTGGTGTTCAGCAACGAATGTGGGATATTTGTCATTAAATTCCTATCAGTCTTTTATCATTCTTCTTTATTATCTGTCTCACATATGACTCTTTGTAAATGAAATTTTACTGGAATACAATTACACCCAGGCAGTCATGCTTCCAAACTGTCTACGGAGACTTTCATGGAAAGCTGAGTAATTGTGACAGAAACCACGTGGGCCACAGTCCTCAAATATTTACTCTCCTACCTTTAAGAGCACAGTCTATTGGGGTGTAGGGGGGTGTAGTGGGGTGTAGGGGGCATGCAACAAGAGGCTGCCACAGGATGGGTGCTGGTGTGAGGCCAGCCTCATCTGTGTAGTAAGGCACTGACTCAGAATTGGTCTCTGTTCATTTGTATATGTATTTATGCACACACACGTCCTAGTTTGCTTTCTATGGCTGTGATAAAACACCGTAACCAAAACCAGTGTGGGCAGGAAAGGGTTCACATGACTTCTTCCAGTCACAGTCCATCATGAAAGGAGGGCAGGGCAGGAACCTAGAGGTGGGAACCGAAGCAGAGGCCGTGGAGGAACATTGCTTGCTCGCCGTTGGCTTGCTCTGCTTGTCCTGAATTGCTTTTTAACTCAGGACCACCTGCCCTAGGGTGGCACCAAGCACAGTGGGTTGCTCCCTCCCACCGTCAATCATTATTAAGACAATGCCTCAGAGACTTGCCCACTGGCCAATCTTGAGAGGCATTTTTCTCAGTCGAGGTTTCCTCTTCCCAGATGACTATCTTGTGTCAAATTGAAACATCCTAACCAGCACAATTGGCCCCTTGTTCTTGACACAGATACACCGCTGTTAAACCAATGCTGTCTCCATTGTTTGTTACCAAGATCTTGTTAATGTCATTATATAAAACAGTATAACTTTAAAAGCCCCACCATCTGTAAAATATTCAAACACTTAGAAATCTCCAGCTCTTTAAAATATCCAAAGCCTCTCAATTGTGGGCTCCTGTAAAACAAAAATAAGGTCTGTCCTTTCTTACTCCAAAGAGAAAAACCAGGGCACACTTTGAATTAGACCAAGGCAAACCCTGAATCCACCAGTATAAATACCTCAGTGTTGGCTGTCTGGAACTCACTCATGATCTTCTGGTCTCCAAAAGGCGTGGGCTTATGCATATACACAATTGCTGGAGTTGCCGAGTTCTGCGCTAGAACATCGGGGGGGGGGGGGGGGATCTCCGATCATCCTGGAAATAGTTCATGGCTGAAGTTCAAATAGTTTGCACATTCTTAGCAGTAACTCAGTGCAGCACAGTGAGGCAAGTGTGCCTTTGGAGTAATGGGGGATGTTTTCATGTTGTGTATCACTGCTCTCCATTCCCAAAGAACTGCTTTCACTCTTATCAATGTGGCGATGTTAGTGGTGGTGGTGGTTTGATGGAAGGTTCAAGAAAAATTAGTTATTGAGATGGGAAGAGACAATAATATGTATTCCTGAATCTCATAACAGAATTTCTCTTGCTTTGATTCTCTTCAAATGAATGATTATTGATAATACCCAAGGGACCTCACCAGCTAGACTGAACTTTTGCTAAAAATGGCTTAGCTCAGTGGTTCTCAATCAGTGGGTCATGAAACCCTTGGGGGTTGAACAACCTTTCGCAGGGTCACCTAAAAACATCGGAAAACACAGATATTTGTGATTCCTGACAGCAGCAAAATTACAGTTACAAAGTAGTGATGAAAATAATTTTCTGGTTGGGGGTCACCACAGCATAAAGAACTGCATTGAAGGGTTGCAGCGTTAGGAAAGTTGAGAATCATTGCCTTAGCTCGTCTGGGCCTAGCCACCTGAAAACACTGACTTAGCAGCTCCTAAGGAAGATACCTGGAAAGCAGAAAAAGAAGAATTATGAGAATATATCACCTTATCTTTCAGCGTTTCACAGTGACCTCCTTGTTTAGACGATCCAGAGTCCTTTCCCTACTCCACAGGGCCATGGGAAGGCAAAGAGAGCTAGGTTTCTCACCAAGCCTGACTTGGCTTGAAGCATTAACCAGAGCAGCTACTGGTCCACAAGCATCTCAGGAAAAGGAAATCAAACCCAGATTTTGGCATGGGTGAGTAGTAAAGGATGACCTTGCACTTCTGATTCTTCCGGCCTCTAGCTCCCAAGTGCTGGGATGACAGCTGTATACTATCACATCTGATTTTATGCACTGCTAGTGATTGAACCCAGGGTTTCATCTAGGCTAAACAAGTACTGTTCCAACTGAACTAATGCCCAACCCACAGGTAAGCCTCTCTTAATGGAGGGCAGCAGGGCCAGCGAGGTATGGTGCCATAAACTTGTGATCCTATCACTCAGGAGAATGGTAATGGAGTATCATGAATTTTAGGCTTCAAATAACAATTGGAAGACTGCAAAACAAACAACATCAGGAAATCGTTGTTTCCTGGGATCGGTATCGAGTTGCCCAGATGTTGATGGGGCAACCTCTGCATGGTGCAGAATTACTTTGCACACCTTGGAATTCTCAAGTTTGATGAATTGAGGCTAGACATGCTTTAACTAAACTTGGAGAGGTTTTTGTAACTTCATTATCTAAATCTGGATATCAGCTAATTGAGGTGAGCAGGGTAGATTTTCACCATCAACTAGCAGGTGTCTCAAGCAAGACTCTGGCCTTTCTACGAGCCTGTTTGATAGGCAGATACCACCATTATTGGCTATGCCCTCTGTGACAGTCTAGTGACTGTCAGAGGGCTTCAGTCTCACCCAGGAAAGACCAGAGCTCATGACCTGCTGACGTGAGCAGTCAGTGCCACCATTTAGGAGTCTGCGTATCAGACCATGGACTGGCTTTCCTGAGCTCCCCTTTGCCCCAGGCCCTTCACAGTCCTTGGAGGAGTATGATGGCCCTTTACTAATAGGTGCGAATGCCAATGGGGTGGAGAAGTGGGAAACTGTATTCTCATGCCACTTTGCTTTCATGCAACACTCCAACTTAAAGATTCAGGACTTAAGAGAAAACCGAGCTTCACTATTTTGGAGGAGGCAGAACATGTAAACCATCTTTTTAGTCGCCTAGTGCCTTCGAGGCCCCCAGGAAACAAGGCCTCACCTACTCTCTTCTTAGCTGAGGGCTGGCAAAGTAGCATTCTAGGTGGGGTCAGAGTCCATTGTGGAGTGTCACGCCAGACAGCCTCTGAACCATTTCCCAACATCCTGTTCATCCTGTCCCTCAGGTCTCCTTCCTTCCCTCCAATCTTATTCTGGGATAGGTTTGAGAAATAGCTGAGCACGGGTTGTCAGTGCGGGGTTCCTGTGGTGGCTCCCCAGAATCCTCAGACTAGGAAGTTGATAGACAAGTTAGAGTAATCACACTGTCTTGTGACAGGTGCCTGGCAGAGAGAGACGCGTCATCCCTCCTTGGACCCTGGCGACTGCTGGGGGAAGGGGAGTCAAAGCAGAATGACGTAGGGACAGGTGGATAGAGAAATGGGATGTGTCAGGCAGCCCCGGTGGAGGTATGGTGTGTCTGGAGCATGTTCCAATGTTGGTAAAAGGCAGATAGTGTGACGCAATCCCCCAGCTTCTGACTGCGTTCCATCCCCCAAATGCGTGTGTTCCTAGCCCTGTGCTCACTGGTCTATACTCTCCCTTTTCATCTGCAGCCATGCTAGCCTTTTCTTTATTTTCAGATGAGTAGAGAAATTGGGGTTCAGCCCAACTCTGCTGCGGATGGCTTGGTGTCTTAGTTAGGGTTTTATTGCTGTGAAGAGACACCATGACCACAGCAACTCTTATAAAGGAAACCATTTAATTGGGGCTGGCTTACAGTTCAGAGGTGTAGTTCATTATCATCATGGTGGGAAGCATGGTGGCATGCAGTCAGACATGGTGCTGGAGATGTAGCTGAGAGTTCTACATCTGGACCAGCAGGCAGCAAGAAGAAAGAGACACTGGGCCTTGAGCATTTGAAACCTCAAAGCCCACTCCCAGTGACATACTTCCTCCAACAAGTCCACACCTCCTAATAGTGCTGCTCCCTGTGAGCTTATGGGGGCCATTTTCATTTAAACCACTACATCTGAGCAGGCTTAAGTCTGTTCCTTCACCTCAAAAGCCTGAAAGAGCCCATTGTGTCAGGCTGGAAGAAAGATGATCACAGTCAGCATTGGTGGCACATTTTGGCCACTAAATGTAAAGTTATGTCTGGGACCCCGTATAGACCCTTAAGCCAAGCATAGGGCCCTGCACACCAATCCTGCGCTCCACAATGACTTCCATACCCCAGCAAATACAAAAGCAAGTGCTTTAGAGGCCCTCAAGTATTCTTCTGCATTCATGGCCAGTGTCCATGCCAGGATGCCAACAGACTAGACCCCCTCAGGCTCCTGGAGGCCCCAGCAACCATGCTGGCGGGACTGGGTTCGCTGGTGCAGATCCTTTTATGGACAGCTGAGGGGCCACTAAACTTGTCACTGACAGGAAGCTTTAAGGCTGCAGAGCTGGTTCTTGACTGAGTCCACAGCAACCCAGGGTCCCCTGCCTTTGGGGACAGTAGGCATTCTCTTTGCAATCACCTCCCCTTTCCTCTACTCTTCAGGCCTCAGAAGACGGTCCCTATCCCAGGCTCATTACCTTTATGTGAGATTGTGGCTGCCAAAAAGGGAGAGAACTTCCAGGCATGGTGGCACACACCTTTAATGCCAGCACTCCAGAGGCAAAGGCCAGCAGATCTCTGTGAGTTCGAGGCCAGCTTGGTCTACAAAGTGAATTCCAGGACAGCCAGGGCTATAGTGAGAGACCCTGACTTGCTGGGGGTGGAGGGCAACTTCCTCCCGATGTCAATGTTGTGTAAAGTATTTCCCTCCAGAGGGACTGACTCCTACTTCCCCGGAGGTGTCCATGAGTTGAAGAGGTTTTAAGATTTGTCAACTTTTGAAGTCAGACTCCCCCTCCACCTTTTTAATAGTATAGCAATGCCATAGACATTATTTTAGGACGTTGTTGGAATTCCACCTTGTTACAACCTTTGTAGCTGGTGTTTGCCTTCATGGAAGCCT